CCCGACTTTCTGCTACTTTGATGAACCTTCCCTCTGTGAAGCCCGAAGTCAGCTAAATGGCTAATGATAGCTATCAAAACGCCTGCCATTTGAAATAAATAAATAAATTTTTGGACGTATTTGCATGAACCAAAATTCCGATGCAGACAAATAGCATGCATTTGTGACAAAAGAACAAACAGATTATTATCCTCTAGACATTGATAAATTTAAACCCTCACCTTTCCATTCCTCAACAGTGAGATTGTCTGCGTCGATCAGCTCATCATCCAAGGGGGTTCCAACGGGTTCGTCGTTTTCGTCGTGATATTCAGCAAAGTATGGGTGAGAAAGTGCCTGAGCTGCGGTCAGGCGACGATCCGGATCCAACACCAGCATCTTTGAGAGCAGATCAAGCACTAAGGGGGGAGAGAGAAAAGAAGGTGGATATTAATCACCAATCAGACCAACTTCAGATATGTGGTGTCGTGAATCTAGTAAGCTATATTTTTATCAATGTAGCTTTCAAACAATCAGGGAATTCATTTAACTCCCGGTTGAGAAGAAGTTACTGTGCCTAATCTACAAGTTTAAGAACCTTGATTTAAGTTTAAATATCCAATAAATTGAGGGGATTTCAATTGGTCGAATTAATCCACTTGGGTGACTACGAAGCAACCAAAGGTCCTGCAAACCCAAAAAATTCCATTAAAATGCATTTTTGGCACTTTGGCTATAACATGACAGGCATTCTCCACAATCCTTTCTCCGGGCTCTTCGTATTGCACTACGCCACGATCAGCCTTCTCGCCATCTTCATTTACGCAGTGAAGATCGCTATAAACCAGATCCGAGGATCCTAAACTACCGCGCATAATGATACGCGGCCTGAGCATATTGGAGTCTGCGCTGTGGTCGAATTCTAGCGTTAACCAGCTAATAAACTCGCCTGCTTTGAACACAAGGAATGAGATCAGGGGGGGGGCATTGGCTGACAGTAGAGATAATCAATAAAATTGTGGATATGACCATAAAATTTATGACCAGAGCATATAACCCCATACGAACTAAAATCTCAAATTTGGAGAAATTAACAAAGACATGATCAACGGGACATAGGATTCCATTCATTTAAATTTAGGAAAAAAAAATACAACGTAAGGAACGGTTTGAGGAGCAAATTGTGAGGTAGGATAAGAACATGAAATTTAGTTTAATTACAACATGCATTAAGAAGAAAATATCGATTATTGCGAGAGGTCAAATCAGATATATCAAGTTCAATAGCCGCATCCAATGCGAAGCACTTGCTAAACCGGCTTTATATGTAACGTCAAAGAAAACTGCTGACAAAGCCCTGGACACATACACACGTTAGACAAGAAAATGTTGCCTAGTAAATAAACGCTGACCATGCAAATCATCGATGGTACTTCATGCGCAAAAAAAGAGAAAAGCGGTACTCTAATAACCAAAGGAACAAGAACCGGAAGCTCTGACTCACACACACACACACAACACGAAACTAGAAGGATACAATCGGAGCATACAATCAGGCGAATCAGGAAGTACTTTCCATCCACGAGTTAGTGTCCTAGCCAATCTACTTTTACTGACTCAATCTTAATTAGTTCATTCCACTTCTCTCTTCGGGCTCCCATCGACACTTGCGTCTTTTGGTATTGCAATTTTTAAACAAAAAATAGAGTTTAGTGATAGTGAATAAGGAACTCAATGTTCATTTTTGCATTCGTTTTTGACTTCGATTAATTATGATTAGCTTTAAAAAAGGCTATAAGAAAAATCGCCCTCGTCAGGGCGAATCACAACGTCTTCAGATCCTCCAGTGGAATGCTGGAGGAATGTCTCCGGACAAAAAGATCCAAATACAAAAAATCCTGCAAACCTATGATGTAGACATTTTCACAATTATGGAAGCTAACATTTCGGATGACAAACTGCAGTATTACCAATTCCCAGGTTACACCCTGTACAATCTACCTAAATACCGGCAAGTTGCAAGTGGAATTCTAACTGGTAAAAGATGGCCTCACCTCACACTACGATCTAATCAAGAGTATGGGCTCGACACAAGACAAATGTGAAATAATCAGATTAAATGTTTGGAAATGTCAAAACCACTTCAAGATATATGCAGTCTATAATCCTCCCCAGAATTGTCCAAACTTTGACTTTCTGAACATCTCACACAAAACTATAGTATTAGGAGACTTCAACGCCCACTCCACCAGATGGGGCTACAAGGATACAAACATATCTGGAAAGGAAATTGAAGACATGCTAAACAGCAACATTCTGGAACTTATTTATAGCAATGAGGATCCGGCTACTTATTTGCACTACAATGGATCCAGAACAACTCCTGATTTACTCTTGGCTTCAAGCGACATCAGTGAGCATACACACCGCAAAATCATTGACGATCCTGGTTCTGGTCACAAACCAGTCATTGCTAGTATTA